CGGTTACAACTTGATTACAAAAGAGAGGAAAACGAATTTGGTTTTCCCCTTTGTTTAAAACTGGGTTCTTCTTGGCAGCGATGGAGTGCTTCCTTCGATTGATTGCGTCGAACTTGCTCTCCGTTGACGATCCGACCGTCTTTATCTCGTGGGAACGATGAACTTTCGTGGAAAGTTTTATAAATAACTCTGAATGAGTTTAAGAACTCTGAACGAGTTTGAACTCTGTGAACAGAGTTGTTGGAACCGAAAATTTGGTTAATGATCAAGCTGTTTTTCTGTTGTCGAAGAATCCTCTCAGATTTGATCTTCTGAGTTTGATTCAAAAATCCTATCTCTAAGGATTTCGTTGCTGCTGAATCTCCCAGCCTGAGTGGTTTTTAACGACGGGGGTCGCCTTCATTTCTAAAGTGGTGACGCGGGGATGACATCCGCGTCTCAGAATGAGCTATTTGACTTGTAGCTTCTTCTGTGGTGCATTGCAAGGACCGTTGTTCAGTAATCCTGGCTTTTAGCTGTTGTGGAGTGTGAAAGTCGTCAGATTGTAACTTTCACTGTAGATTGTGAAGACTGCTGAATAGAGTTTTCATCCGTCGTCGGAAGTGTCGTTGAATTGTAACTCTTCTCGATCTATGTGAAAAGCCCTCCATTCGCAACTTTCGTTTACCGACCCGAAAACTATTTGATTGTAGCTTTCGTTGTAGGAGCTAGACGGGAATCAACATCCATAGTGTCTTAAAGATGAATATTTGTCCACAGCTCTCTACCAAGCAACTCACCAACTGAGTCCAACCTTTTATTTCTGAAATCATCCCACTGCTCATCAGCATCTCTAATAGTTGCTAATATAATATTAGCCATGTTGTTGTCACAGCCATCAAGATCAATCATCTCAGAAATGAGGTCGCGTTTGTGGCGATTGTGGAGTTACGGATGCAGTGATTTAGAAAGTCGTCTGATTGTGACTTCCATTGTTGGAGCTTGTTTGAATAAGCTATCTATTGTGATTTTTAGACAGCCTACAATAATAGTAAAATCATTAAAATAAATATAATCTAGATTTTTAAATCATAGAAAATTTTAGAAAACCGAGAAAATATAAATACTCTTTTAAAAATAATAATTAAATATTTTAAAATACCAGAAAAATTATTTTAACTAGTATCAAAAATTCATGGTCATTACAATGAAGCTCAAGAAAAGTTTATCATTTTTAAGAATAAAGCTGAAACTCAAACTGACAAGAAACTTAAAAGGTTAAGATCCGATAGAGGTGGAGAATATATATCAAATGAGTTTACTCTTCTATGTCAATCTTTTGGCATAGTGCATGAGGAAACTGTTCCTTATTCTCCTCAGTCTAACGGTGTAGCTGAACAAAGAAAATAGAACCTTAAAAGATATAATTAATAGTCTACTTGAAAGTTCATAACTTTCTAAATATATGTGGGGAGATGCTTTGAATAAGGCTTACCATATTTTGAATAGAGTCCCTTAGAAACATAAAGAAAATAGTCATTTTGAACTTTGGAGAGGTTGAAAGACAAGCGTGAAAACCTTAAAGTGTGGGGGTGTCTAGCAAAAGTGGTAACCCCAGAACACGAGAGGAGGAAGCTGGGTACTAAGACAGTAGAATCTTATCTTTTTGGGTTATGTAGAAAACAGCTATGCTTTGAGATTCTTAGTGATCAAATCTAAAATACCAAGCATAGGTGTTAATACAATTGTTAAATTTTGTGAAGCAACATTTTTTGAGGATGTTTTCCCTATGAAAACTGGAATGCCTCAAAATATTTCTAATAAAAATCCAGTATCTGTCTCAACTTTCATTCATGATCATGTGAAAAGGATGACAAATGTGGTGGCAGATAGTTCTAAATCTGAATCTGAAAGTTCAGATGATTTAGATGAACCTAGAATAAGTAAGAGAGCAAAGATCGTCAAGGATTTTGCAAGTGACTTTGTCACTTACAATATTAAGGAGAAAATAGATATGGGGGCAGATAGTTCTAAATCTGAATCTGAAAGATCAGATGATTTAGATGAACCTAGAAGGAGTAAGAGAGCAAGAATCGTCAAGGATTTTGAAAGTGACTTTGTCACTTACAATATCGAGGAGGATCATATTTCTTACAGATCCGCTATAGTCTCGAAAGAGGCTAAACAGTAGAAGGAAGTTGTCAAAAGTAAAATAGATTCTATTGTCCCTAATGAGATATGAGAATTACTTTAAAATAATTTCACCGACTATTTTCATATCACATAATTATTTTCGAGCTATTTTCAAGATATGAATATTTGAGGGTCTAATACAAAATATTAAAGATTTTGTCTTACATGAATGGTAACCTCACCATGGTGTGTTTATTCATTTTTTTTCCTTTCCTCATATTGTTTTTTTCCCATACAAACAACATAGAAGTAAGAAATTGCATTTCCTGCTTTTAATTTCCTACTTCTATGTTGTGAAAGAAACAAAACAAAACAGAACAACATATAGAAGTAAGAAATTTGTATTTCCTGCTTTTAATTTCCTACTTTTATGTTGTAAAAAAAACCAAAACAACGGATTCAATTCAATTGGAAACTCATTTCTACTTCTTTTATGGACAAACCAAACATGGAATAAACATTTCCAAGAAACCCCACGAAACTCAAGAAAATGGGTTTTTTTATTGAAACTTTATTTCCTACAATTGTTTGAAATTGAACCAAACATGCCTAATAAGAAAATTGGTGAGACAAACTGAACAGGCCCGCATTAAGAAATTGGTGGAACTACTAAAGGCAAAACACAGTAAAGAACAAAAAAACCTAACATGTATCATTTATTTATGAAAACAACTAAATCAACCAATGCTATTAAACCCATACACCCAATTGTAAGGATGCAACCCCCTTAATCTACACCCAAAAGTATTACTTATTTTAGGTACAGTTCAAAATCAAGTCAAAGATGGTTTAATCTTAGCAATTTTCTTCTCAATCCCCGACTGAACTCTTACAAAGATCCTAACTTTTCCAACGGCGTACGCGATCTACAACACTCAATGTTTATACTCCCCCACACTTACACACACACTTCCACCTGCAAAACATAGGAATCGGATATTTTGAAATCGGGGGTCATCCTGAACTCAAACTCACCCATCCGCAAACGTTAACCAACTCCACTTGTCATACTTCAATTATTCCAGCAGCACTCAAACTCATCACTACACCCATCATATATTATTCCAACAAAACACGCACAGACCCTGCAGAGAAACAAAAACCCCCCCGGCCCCGACAAAATTAAAACAGCGTTGCATGCATCTATCTGGACGAGGCCTCCTTCAAGTAGCCAGCAGCGGAAGGAGCGAAATAAACCAGATCCTTAGCCTGAAGCCAGGGCTTCACCACCACCACCGCATCGAACATCGTAAGACGACTCCGGGGCCCCGAAGCAGCGGCGGCGGACCCGGAGGTAAAGTACTTGATCCCGGAAAGCGACCATGCCTCTCGGCAGAAACGACGCCAGAGAAGGAGAGGAGAGGCGAGCCGGGGCCGCGGATCTTGCGGTTGTACTGCTTCACGCAGAACCTGCCGAGGTCTTGAATTTCGCGGTTCGACTCCACGCTCCGGACCTCCGTCCGGCCGCCGACCCTGCGCTCTCCGAGGACTCCGAAAGCGGAGGAGGAGGAGGGTATCGAGATCATTAAAACTATGAAAAGTAAGAGAGGGACCGGGGAGGCCATTTTGTTCGTTGAGGAGATAAATTAAAAGGAGAGGGGATGGTGATAAACATGTACATGTACATGAACATATGTGTGTGTGTGTATATATATATATAAAGGAGAGAAGAGGTGAGGGATGAGATGGCGGTGCTGACAGAGGAAGAGCCCGAGCGGTGTGCCGCGTATTCACTCAGCGCATCAACGTGGAGGCTTCGTCACGTGCCCCTCTCTTGTCTGCTTCCTTCAGTTTCATGCGTGGATATGTGTGGCTTCTCTTTTTCTTTTGAAGCTGGCGTGCTCAGCTTGATAAGTTTGGACGCTAAAAATATTAATTAAAGCAATATGTTTCAGTTATACGTTACCGATTTGAGCCGAAACTTTTTCATCAGAAACTGCGTACTGCTCCATTGAAGAGATCCTATGTTCTAAGCGGGCGTGCGAGGAAAACAGTTGTATCCGCAAATATATTTATACGTAAGATGTGACATACAGTTAATTAAGGGGAGGTAAGATGTGACATGTAGATTGTTTGGAAAATTAGTAAGAAGAATAAAGTGAAGGGAATGTAAGAAAGTTTACGCAAATTTAAGTAGATACATTATACGTTATTTCATCCCTTTGAACCTCATCTTGATATAGGGATAAAACTATCTTTGTGTAATATGTTATTTCATCCCTTTAAACATTATCTTGATATAGAGATAAAGTTATCTTTGTGTAACATTATGTCTTTTTAGAAGTTACTTTCCCTTACCTTCCCTCCATTACACCCCAATCAAGGGGGAACAAAATCTAAAATATTTTTCCCTCAATTGCCTTGAACATTCTCCTCATTACCTACCTCAAATGAATTCCCAAACAAGATTAATGCATTCCCTACCTTCCCTTCACTCCTATTGCCGCCAAATCCAAACAAACCCCAAGGCATGAGTGAAGCTGTCTTATGCACTGACACCGAAAATGAGACTTGAGCGACAAGATGACAGGCTTGCGCATGGAAAAATAATCACGGCCCTCAGAAGTGAGCATTATCGACGCCAACAGAACTTTAAAACTCCCCTTAAACAACTGCCGCTCTTGGAAATTTGCCCTCAGTTTTCAACGCCAATTCCGAGATTTTTGCTTTACATGAGGAAACTGTTGACACTGAATGCCGCATAAAGAATCAAACAACAAAGCCCTTGAACTCCCTTCTAACACATTTTCCATCGTAACGATCTACTAGAGCTCCATCGCTCATATACTCCACCGGGCGATGCAAACAGATTTCGTAAAACAAAGCAATGAAACATATGAAAACCCCCAAATAATTTATATATAAAGTGTACATAATAGTACAATTATTTAAAATATTGCCAAGTATCAACAGGAGAAGCAGCAGGCTTCTTCACCTCTACGAACATGTCTCTACTCCCAACAAGCAGGGGTCTCCAGCATATGGAGCAGCTCACTATAGCCGTTTGTCCATTAAAACAATCTCCTGGTTTCCATCCACAATAGGGTAGTGTGAGTAATAATATACACATCCCAATGCATCATTTGGACAACCAAATATAAAACGTATTCTGCGGACTAAACCCTATTTACAGAACCTCATTCCCTAAAATTATCTGTCGTATGGAAATTCATTATCATTCTCAGTCACTTTGAACGGCTGCGGATGTCCACCAGAGCAGTATAAATTCCACATTTTATAGTATGATCGCTCCAAGTTTCGAACCTGCAGCATGCAAGAATGTCAAACACGTATGTACGCCAACCACCGACATAACTTCATATAGATAAGAAGATTTTACCCATCGTGCTGTGTCAAATAGAGGACAGGTTAGTCTAGCCGCTTTAAGTCTATTGCGAAGTGTATGGAGCTTCACAGGATTGAGGGCAAAAGCAACTGCCTTTTCTTCGTACTCTTTCAAGCTATGACAAGATAAAATCACCCAGTAAATACAGATTAGCTGTTAAAAGAACTGACATAGAACTGGAGGTGTTTCTAGTAATGTTGCTCTCTAGCTTCATCATTTAGGAACCCTTGTTTGTTTTATTGCTCCCATGTGACAAGCATGTTGAGACTAGTAGCTCTGTGGGTGTATGCGTGTGCACGCATGTGTGTGTACATACACAATGTACACACATGCATACATGATTATGTGTATGTATACGTATTTACATTTACAATTGTGCGTTTACATGTTTGTGTGTGAACAGACGGATACGTGTGCGCACACAAGCATTAATAGACAAATACATGTAAGCACGCAGAAAATATCATATATCTGTGTAGAGAGAGAACATTTACCTGCCAACGATCATCTCCTCTCCAACACCAGTGGCGAGACATAAAGAACCAGCCACTCTTGTAGCCATTTTCTCCAATGGAAGCGTTATCATTGGCAGACCAGCCCACAATATATCTGTACCCGTAGTGTGGGCGTTGCACAGAGGCCTATCCATCGAAAACATAGGCACAGAAGCGTTCAGATGAAGGCACAAATTGCAAACTAAATGAATGTTCGATAAAAAGAGACACAAATATCAATAAAAAAGAAAACTCACGTATCAAGAAAAAGATCAGCCAAAGCACCACGCCTGATATGTTCATTCTTCATGGCGACGTCTGTGAATACGATTTGATCATCCCTCACCCCTTGTCTCCTAGCATCTGCACAAGACAGCAGGATAATCAAATTAATAAAAAATTCCAAAACATTCAACTGCTTAAGAAAACATAACAGCCTTGTACAATATACAACTGAAAAGTTCAATTGGCACACAGGTAGGTTACCCTCTCCCAACAAGAATTCATACATTCATAGAGGAACCTGTATTTGCAATCAAGTAGATCATCTGGACAAAACCTTACGATGATAACATTGCTACATCTAGCTGCATGCCTTAATTCTTTTAGCCTGACTACCCAACTTGCGCGTGCCCCAAAAAGAACAAAAGCTAATTATGAAAAATGGGTGTGCGCGCGCATGCACGCATGGTCGAATTCCTCCAAAATCAAAATAAAATGTAAATTTGAATAATTATTCAGTAAAAAATTTCCTACAAAATCAACAGTAGAGGAATTATTCCTCAGTACTTCAACATTTAGTACCCTCATTTCTTTTTTCATAATGTAGTATAGATTTGTCACTCCCTTCAAAAAATCACAAATTTCAAAAATGATGTTGTATCTTCAGGTTGAGCTAGGAGAAAATGAGGATGTAGAAAAATATTATATTTCATAAATTTGAACAATTCAAAAATGATATTGTTCTTATTATACTATATTTTTGTCATACTCTAGTCTAAATTATGGTTTTTAAATTTTTGTGGAATTTGATCTATCCGTCTTCGATCGTAACTTAAATTTATAAGATAATTCTAACAGAACTTCAACTTCTTTCGAACCCAAATTCATTTATTGAATGATCGTTTAAGTCCAAACATTTATAAGACAATCTAACTTGAATATACTTCAGAGAAGTATTAATGTAATTAATTAAAATGGCTATCGAAGGTAACTAAATATTTATAATAGTGTATTTCTTCTAAATATATTTATCACTTGCTTCTAAAGTATCACATATTTCAATACCATCATTGTCTTTGATTTTAACTAGGTGAAAATGATGTTACCTAAAAATATCTATTTCATAAATTTTGCGGTGAACTGTTCAAAAATGATCTTTCGTAATACCACATCTTTCGTATTTAACTCTAATTAGGTTTCAATTTTGACGAGTATCTTTTTTAGAAGTACACTTGAATATATTTTTTAAAGAGAGGAAAAAGCATTTGAACCATCAGTCTCTGATGTGACGCAGAAGAGACGTAAGAACCACATCAAATGATGTATTGGTTAAAATTTGGAAGAATGATTACACATCTCCAATTGGCACGTCCTCAGTTTTTTTTTATTAGTATAGACGTTACAGGGGTTACCAGGGTAGGTACTGGGTACTAGGTGCATTCAACGAGGGAACAATAGAATCAAAGAAACTTCAGCAAAAAAAAAGTATACTTTCTGAGTGAACTAGACGACAATACTGCACGTGTGCACACAAAATACAATAGCTATGAAAAAAATGAATTAGTGGATGAGCTGACTAGTTGCAGTTAATATATACACTTAAGAATATTTTTAAGAGAGGAAAAAGCTTTTGAACCATCAAGATCTACTGTGACACAGGAGAGTGAGAAATGGGACCCACATCAAATGATGTGTTGGTTAAAAAAATTAAAATTACTGAAGTGCCCCTACAATTTGAATGATGACACATCTCTGACTTCGGCATGTCCTCGGTTTTTTATATAGTAGTATAGATGTCAACAGGGGTAGGTGCATTCACTGAGGGAACAATATAATCAGAAGCTCCAGAAAATAAAACGAGTCGTATACTTTCTGAGTGAGTTAGCCAACACCACTCCGCATGCACACACAAAAAACAATAGTGACGAAAATAATGAATTAGTGGATGAACTGACTAGTTGCAGTGAATATAGACACTTACGATCACGCAGTCTCCTCTCACCAGCTGCAGGAAATCGCAGCAGCCAAAGAGCACTATTAGGGACACGCTTCAGAATATTGCACCTAAATTGTTGCAGGATCAAATGGTTAACCAAATGTGTGAGTCAGTAGATCAAAGGTGGACAAACAACTAGAAGCCAAGGGAATCAGGTGATAAAATCAGCGGACAACAGAAAATAAGTTGGACTTACCAAGTGTTAAATATATCAGGATCCATCTTGTAAAGCTGGTTGAAGCATGCAAAAAGAAACTTGTTTTCAGGTAACCCATAATCTGAACGCTTATGCCGACAGACAGCATCCAGAACATCACGGTTTTTCTGAAAATGCATATACATTCTAAGCATCTACAGGCCTGATATATAGCAACAAAGCATAAAATTCATTGTGCTTAAAAACTTTGTTACCTGCTTATAATCATTGACAAAGTAACAATGTGGAAGATGGACAAGCTTCTCCGAATAAATATGTGAGAAACGAGTAGGAGAAACAAACTGCAAAATTGCAAGAGCTTGTCAGAAGCATAAGATTAGAGATGTTGCATGCAGGCTGATAAATTAAGACAAAAAGACAGGTTTCTTTAGCGCACCTCATCAGTAACTAAATAGTCAATGTAATTAGCACCAGTGGTCCCAGGGAAACCCATGTAGGAAACCTGGATAGGTGCTGGTTGCATGGCAAAAATTTCATTTCTTGCACCCTGAAAGAATTGTGTTTATCAGACAAACCTCTGGAAATGAGAATACTGAAAATCCAATGTCCGAATACTAGTTGCATTCTTTTGGCAAAATATTTGTTAAATACAACGTTAAGAATTTCTCTGCATTGACATCCACTTGGTGATGAAAAAGAGACAAGGTTGAAGGAATTATCAAAGATGATCTCCTATATATCAACTCCTAATCAAATTCAACAGTATGAATGACTGAAGGTGCAAGGATAATAACCTACACAGAGACAAGGGAGACGTGATTCCAAATTTCTAAGTCCGAGTGGCAGTTTCTCTGAATTCAAAATTATATAAAAAAGGAAGGAGCTTATGCTATATTGTTCAGAAAACAGTACTTGTACTGCAAACAGAATCTGGAACAGAGTAACACAACAAGATTTGCAGATAAAATTGCCGCGACAAAATTCACAAATTGTCGGAAATTAAAAAACAACAAAAACCAAAAAAATTGAGGTGTGAACTTAAAAGCTTGCTCAATAAGTCAACTAATAATTAAGTAATAGTATATATATATATATATATATCATATATTATATATTATAGATATGATATTAATATATAAATTTGCAAGGTGCGAGATAAAATGGGTGCGAGATAAAATGAATACTGCACATTAGGATATAAACAAACAAAATCTCAAAAGAGTAAATACCTTACTATAACTATTAAGCTGACTAACATCAATTATAATGGATCACCATAGCAGGATATGACATAAAATGCATACTGCATATTAGGATAGCCTACTGTCCTAACATAAAAACCTCAAAATATTTAATACCTTAGTATAACCATTAAGGTTGACTAAAATCTGTATCTTATGCTCATTGATCATCCTAGCAATCACTTCAGATGTCATTGAGGACACGTCAATGAAGTGCTCAGCTTCAGATTGAGTGCGCTGTCTCCATTCAGTCCCGTCATTTTGACTTAAGGCATAACAGAAGACCTGCATAAATGTAAATGTTAATATCAAATAGATAATGAAATGACAGTAAGACAAAGAAATTAAATTTTACATGACCTCAACATGTTCCTGATTGTGCATCCCAAAAACTGAGCCCATAAGATGGGACAAAGGGTGATTACCAAAGTCACTACTTACATAACTGCAACAAAAAAAAGAGATCCAATATCCTTGATATTAATAACCAACAAAGAGCAACCAACACAACAATATAATCGAATAGCAGATACCAACCCAACTCTTAGCCGCCTACTACCACCATCCATCTTCACAGGAATTGGAAGGGGATGGTTAAATGCTGGAAGTGCATAGCGAGAGGCAATCAAAGAGCAATGTGCTGCATACTTCCGGCTACAAAATTGAACACAAGAAAAGAAGCACAACTTCAGGCTAGTTTCCACGATAATGTAGTTCAACAATTGACATCAAAATATATAATGGAAGTCTAAAAAAAACAATTTCATAATCCCACAAAAATTGCCCCCTAAACTTAACCTGATCTCTAAGGCGAGAAGAGGATCAATTGGATATGCTATTGCATGAAACGGTTGCACACTTGGAAGGACTGACATCTGAAATTAAAGCACAGATCAACAGTATGCTGCAAAATCCATATTACAAATGTGCAAAAATATGAAAGTGAGAAAACAAAATCGCAACACAAAACCTTTATCTGCCTCCTAATGATTCCCTCCACTTCAGTAAACTTCTTGTCCCGATCATCCCAATCACACACACACTGAATAAAGATTAAAAAAAGAGAGAAAAGTTTAAAAAGAAACCACAAGAAGCAGACAATGTGCATTGAAACTTGCAAGTAAAAGATCTTAAGGCATACTATTCAAAATGTGTTTTATATCAGATTACAGTGTGTCAAATTTCAGTACACCCGATTCCATGTAGGTCTCATGATGGTTCAAAAATAATATAAAGAGAATTAAGAAAATATAAAGAGCATAAGGAAGATTGCAGTAATACAATTATTGATTATCACCTTATAAACCTTACCTGTAACGTGTGTAATAGATTACAAGTAGCTTCTGGAAAATCAGGACGAAGAAGCAACGCCTGTTGATAACTCAATATAGCTTGATCCACATGCCCACTGCACATCATCCAGTCTAATTAGGGTCCAATGCAAGAATGAAATGTCAATATAGGACTACTAACTCCATCAATGTGGATAATTAGATGACAATCATCACCTATCTTTGTAAGCTGAAGCCAAATTTGCATGAGCTTCTGCCATTGTAGGTCTGATAGAAACAGCTCTCATATAATCTTGGATTGCTTCACTAACTCTACCAATCTCCTTGAAAGTGTTTCCCCTATTTACAAGGCCATCAGCTGCCAAAGGATCTATTCGAAGAACCTCATTGTAGCATGCTATAGCTTCAGCATAGTTTCCCTGATGTGAATGATAACAGATTAAACAAAATAAAATAAAATAAACAAGAGAAAGACTTGGCATACTAAGCAACTGATCCACATAACCACAGGTTTATGAACAAGTTATAGCAGGATGACCATGTGAAAGCACTCAGTTAAAATGCAATAAATCCAGGACACGAGGGATACGAGTATAACCTGTTGTTTATAAATTATTGCCAAGTTGCTGAAAGGAGCAGACAACCCGGTGGTTACAGACAACGTGGCCTTGTAAAATGAAGCAGCTGAACTCAACATATTCCTGCATTACCAGATCAACTTCTCTAAGTGTCATACTAAAACTATGCAAATAATACAATTCAAAATTCTTTTAATAGCTTACCATTCCATATATATATTTCCAAGGTTTGTGAGTGCTTGTGGATGGCTAGGCTGGAAAGCTAGACACGACTAAATAAAACACAAAAAATGCAAATCACATATTTATTTAAGCTGAAAAAAGAAGGATATTCCGAAGATAGATGGATCAAAAAGAATTTGTCACCCGATAACAATTGATAGCCTCTTCCACTCTCCCAGCATCTTTTAGGGCATTTCCCTTTTGAATCACAAACAAATAATATGAGCAGTTTTTCCTGAGGAATTCTACTCCACAAGATTGATGATCAACATAAAAAATAACAAAAACTGACAAAGCACACGAACCAGATTATTGTATGCCTCCACAAACCCTGAATCACATGTGATAGCTTGTTTGTAGTGCATTATTGCTAACTCCAGCTGACCTTGTTCATAATATGTACTAGCAAGATTTCCTGAAACAGAAATGTATGTTCATTATCATGAGTCATATATATTATATGACATAAATATTATGTATATATACAGATAGTCATATATATTACATGATATTATACTATGTATATATACATACATACGTATTATATATATACAAATACACATACATGTAGTGTTTGTGTATCTATGTACTTTTATACAAATAAAACTTTAGAAGACTATTACCAATAAGATGCCGTAAAATCTTAATTAACAATCCCAGATTTACAAAATACCCTAGTAAAAGAAAACACTATATCCTGCCACCAGTAGTTATATAGAAATCATTCATACAACTCTTCATGGCTTCATCTCACATCATGACTTTTGAGTCACTAAAGTTGAAACCATGTTAACTTTCTTTTTTAAGATGGGAGTTAAAATAAAGAAGAAGGACAAGTTGGTTAGAAAAACAAAATTACAATCAGTTTTCAAACTTTTAATCTCAGTGTTTGAAGAACAATGTAATGGCACCATAAGCAATATCAGGCAACAGTGAGAACATAAACAAACTCGAGTAACAGAGCCAGGAAAAGGAGAAGAGGAATAAAAAGAGGAGAAAGGACAAAGAATTTTATCAACATTTGAACAAAATATGCACAGGAACTGTATTCTCCTTTCAGCATCTGCAGCTCATTCATCAAAATTATTGATCACTAGAGGCTATGGAATGGTGATTGGTAAGGGGCAGATGAATACCAAGGAAGCAAGAGGGCACAGGGAGAGAAGGGCGTTCAGAGATGATGATGGGTCAACCAGTTAGAGTAGAAAGCCGCAGATCAATCGCGACAAACCCACACGTCAAACTGACCCATGAATCGGTACTCACTTAGACACTAACTAAGAAAAATAGGCCATCTAATCAAGCCTGAAAATGCATAGGAGTCCACCACATAATCTGGAGGCAACTATACAATTCCAAGCGGGGGTGACACATCCACCAAGCTTCCAGGCAGTTACCCAAGCCACTTCCTACGACACTAGTTGAAGTCATAATATTTAGAAATTAAACTAGATGCTAAGATTAGCTTCCACTAACAATAATTTTCGAGATTTAGCAATTGAACTAGATCCGGGTGTTGGCTTCTATTGACAAGAATTCTTTACAGACAAATATACACTAGTTAAATGCAAGTAAACAGAAACCCGGATCCTACACCACATACAAAAAGGAGGAACTTTCACATTAATATATAAGTCAACTATATTTTAAACCTTACCATAAGCCATTGCATAATCTGGACGTGATTGTAAAGCACGCTGATAGCACATGATTGCCTCCTGAGGCATGCCCAATGCCTGGAAAAGCCAAAAGAAATATCCATTTTTCCTCCAGAAACCAGCACATACAATTGTGGTGATCTGACACTACCGTCACAATTCATGGTGGCTTACCTTGTAAACATTCCCTTGGTTCAGGAAGGCATCAGCAAATCCTGGCTTGAGTTTGACTGCTTCCTGCAATAGGAAATCAAATTCAAAGCACAAAAATCAGAATGTTTACAGGTGAGACAGACAAAAAATGTGGAGATATTTTGATAGCACAATTACTGGGAAAGAATTCAGACAGAAAGATACAAGGTTTTGCATAACACTCGGCTTTTGCCATGTTAAGATGATACAGAGAGACGTGATAAGCTACTCTAAACTACCAAGAAAGTCAAAAGAGCTTGATTTGTAGACAGACAATACATGAGCAAACCAAAACATATCTCTAGTTTTAAAGTAGCTTTCATGCATGTGTCATATCCAGTTGCATGGATTTCCAACTTGGAAGTTTTGATCATGCAATTGGAGTGGAAGTATTTTATCCCAGAAGGCTTTTGGGAAATAACTTACCTTAACTATGTGTAGGTAATATAGTATGCAACCAGATAGCATTTCCATGCCATTTACAAAACACCAATAGCCTCTAATACATCTTCAAATTTCAGAATACAGCGGTCGAAAAGTTCAATTCCACATTAAAGAATTTTCACACATTATGATGAGCTTGAACATATATCTACACAGCTCCAAATTGCCAGCACAAGAGCCTGACCATATTAGCTTTTACCTTATAGTATAGAAGGGCTCTCTGATAATCTCCAGCCTCCATGAAGAGGCCAGCGAGGTTAGACCAAGCAATTGCAAAAGTAGGTTGTATTCGCAGTGCTTCAAGATAGCAGCTGTAAGCCTGGAAGAAAGAGAAATAAAGAAGAATGAGCTTAAATCTCAGGGACGGATGATAGCTACATCTAATAAAGAAAAGTAAAACAAGTTAAACTACTGCCGGAGTTCATTAATCCAAAAGGAGAAAATTAACAGACCACCTTCCAAGCTTTAATGTGACAATATACATTGCATGGCATGAAATTAATTAAAACCTTATCATTTTAGTCCATTACTAGTATAATTTCTAAATCAACTTTATACAGGAACACTTTCATTTGCAAAGGCAAAATCAAAATTGACCATGATAAGAAAAATTATACATTGCACTAACTTACTTCGTTAATTAGTCCCTGCGCTTTCATGAGGTTTCCAAGATTGCTATGAGCATCAACCTATTTCAGAAAGGAGGATCAGACACTAACTTCATATAAAGCAAACCAACAACAGAAAAGCAAGAAGACAATGTCAAACCAAGCGTGGATTCAGTGCAAGGGCCTGCCGACAACACTGGGCTGCCTCATCAAGTCTTCCTTTTCTTGTATAAGCACTAGCCAAGTTTGACCAAGCATCGGCAAAGTTGGGACGGAGCTACAGATACATTATCCATTATCAACCATCAACATGTAGACAAAATAAATAAGTCAAAACTATTTATTATGCTTCATATTATAAGAAGTTCTTTTGGTACCTAATCAGATAAGTCAAAGACTGACCTCAAATAAGCAAAGATGATTCCAAGATAAATTTATTTTTATAATTTTTCAATGCAAAAAAAAAGCCCTCAAATAACATAGATGACTCCTCACATAGATATCAATATGAAGAGAGCAAAATACATGCATATATAGTTAAAACTAAAGAAATACTGAGAATAATATAATACCAAATTAATCTATTCCACACAATGACGATGATCTTATAACACAATCAGTTTCAGAAATTTTGATAACAAAGAAGGATTAGGTGGTAGTAGATGGTAATCACAATCTTATATGATATTCCAAAAAAGTGGCTAAAATCAATAGACAGTATTCTGATGGGAAAAAATATATGCACTCAGTTTCAACTCATAGAAAATAAACTTCCCCTGTTTTCTCAAGAGGTGAACTAGAATGTTGCTAACAATATTGGATGTATATCTAAGTTTTTGGTAATGCATGTATTCACAACTCTCTTGGTGTCAATCAAAGAACAAGGTTTCCGCTGTATATCGTACTTGCTTAAAGAAAGCTCAAAGTGATCATTGTCTCCTGGTTAGTTCCACCCTCCTGTCTACTCTGAAATGGCTGCCTCACTAAAGCAGCATTGTTCCAGAAGCAAATCAAATTGCTCAACATAGTAGGGTGTGAGAATGAGGAAACCATCATCTGAAAAGTAATGTATGATGACAAGTGGAGATGAGGAGGGCAAGAAACGAGTAATAGAACTAAACTTCCATCCCAACTTTTTGGGGCTGAATATATGAATCTTATTCTTCCATTCCGTTCTCTTAAGGGTAATCTCCTCCATAACCACTATCATTATCTTCTTCATTGCTTGTTTCTCTTAAGCCCACCTCTAACATCCTTGCTTCACGCGTCTTCTAACTGATGCAAATTGGTTCATCTAGGGTGTGTTCAGCAAACTCTTAAAACTAGGTCAGGTCTAAACCTAGCCCCACTTCTTAAAACTAGGCCAGGTCTAAACCTAGCCCCACTTTTGTGGTTGTTTCTAATTGGAAAAAACTAGACCAGTTTTGCTTCAGTTCTTCTTAGTCCAAAAAGAGGCCAAAAATCCAGTCCCTTGGTTCAACTCTAAACTGGTTTCATGACCTCCAACGAGTGCATTCATTTCATTATTTATCCTCTCTCTTAACATATATTCACGTCCATCATGACATTCTCATTTCTAATAAATTGATTGTTTATAAATTGTCTAACCATTCTAAACCATAAGCACTACTGGCCTTACAATTATCCTATAAAACTTTTGCTTCAATTAAACAGGTATATATCAATCAAATTAGACTCCAAAAGCACTAGAATTACTCCCTCCCTCCCTCCCCTAGCGTAAATAACCCGCCATGATAGTCGCAATTAATAGTAATAGAAGAGAGGTTTAGAAAGGAGGCAATAGGGAAAAAAATGAAAAGAGAGTTTTGCCTTTGCAAGGATAGTTCAGAACTGACAGCATATTCTATTGTTTCTTAAATCCACTAGACTGCATGACTTGTTAGACACAAAGGGCCCTATACTCAAGTAACACTCAATACTGAATCGTAACTTGAAGCACCAAAAGCTGAGTATGCATACCTCAATAGCAGCAAGGTAATAACGGATAGCAAGCTCAATATTGCCTTTCTCCTATCAAAAAACATATATAAGATCTCACTGTCAGAGCTTACTTACAGGTTAAGCAAAACAGCAATGGAATAAAAACAACGAGCAAGACCTAAACAATCTCTATATGTAGTGAAAATCCTCTATCATCACACTGTGTTCAGTTACTTAGTAATATTCTTTTTTTCTTAAAGTTCTAGTGGATGAAGTTACCTTCCACGCATTTGCCATGTTGCCATAGCATTCAGCAAAACGTGGATCAATGGCAAGAGCTTCCTCATTCTTTGCAATGCACATGTCAAAATCATGAAGCTGAAATGGAGACCAGCTCATTAAGCATGCCAACAAAAAATGAAAAGGTAATCAATACAACGACAAATAAAATGGAATAAGACAAGTACCTGATAATATGTCGCTCCAAGTAATAGAAGATTGTCAGTGCGTTGCGGGTTCTTATCATAAACTGCCTTGCAGTGCTCCAATGCCTGCTTATAATTCCCAGCTTTGTAATTTTGATGAGCAAGTACCAGGTGAACTTCATCGTCAACTACAGCATCCAAAAGTTCAAATCGGACATTTAATACATATCCATAACCAAATATCAATACTAGAATTAAAATAATAACTCTGTTTGACACCAGCAATAAGAAAGCGGAAACTACAGAGTTAAAGGTTAACATCAAGAGACAAACTCCAAGAACCGCACAAGAGGAAGTTCTATGGAGATCAAGTGGCCAAGTCAAAAGTTTTAGCTAATCATCATTTCTTGCAATCAGAAATTCCACATAACCCTAACCAGAGAAATCAACATGTCCCAACTCACATCAAATTTATGATCAATAATTCACAGACTTCTATTCATAGCCACCATTATATCAAATAGGAATCAACAACAAAATTGGGTAATTGATACTTTTATTCATAACTAAACTACAAGCATAACATCACGAAACAAAGAACCATGTTACAACCCTAGTTAGTCAAACAAAAGGATGATTGATTAGCCAAAAAGATGAATATTTTCCAAAAAAAAAGGCCAATTTTAACTTTAATCAGCATATTTCAAACGTCTGAAACAATCCGCTGGAAAATTTCAGTTCCATCCATCACTTAAACAACCAAATCCCAACTTTACAAGATGCAATCCGCTGGAAAATTTCAGTTCCATCCATCACTTAAACAACCAAATCCCAACTTTACAAGATCCACTCACAACGAAACAGCACCGAACCCGTACAAAACATTCATCTCTAAACATGATTAAGAAGAAAAAAATAAACACCACAAAGAACTAAAGAAATGAAACAAACCTTCGATCGATTTCACCATCTGCATCGATGGTTTAACATCGACGGACACGTCGACAGGCTGCAGACTAAACGCCGGCGATTCATCGAATTCGCTGGCGATCCTAAAAAAAGCATTCGAAAACCCTAATCCGTCGCTGTCGGGGACCGATCCGAACACCTGCGGGAGCGGCAGAGGCAGA